TTGTGTATACACACCTTTTGAAAAAATACATCAACTTAAGTTATCCCTACACCTCCTGGCCTGACTATTCTTTTTTGTTTTTTTTTAGGAAGATTAGCCCTGAGCTAACATCTGCTGCCAATCCTCCTCTTTTTGCTGAGGAAGACTGGCCCTGAGCTAACATCTGTGCCCATCTTCCTCTACTTTTTTTGTTTAATGTGGGATGCCTGCCACAGCATGGCTTGTCAAGCAGTGCCATGTCCGCACCTGGGATCCGGACTGGCAAACCCCAGGCCACCTAAGCAGAACGTGTGAACTTAACCGCTGTGCCACCAGGCGGGCCCCTGGCCTGACTATTCTTGTAGACCTTATTCCGCCGGCGGGGCGTGGGGCTAGGGGTGGGGGACATCAGTTTGGGATTGTACCTTTGGAATTCAAACCAAGACACAATTAGCTGAGGTTCTTCCCTAATCACCAGATGCCCCGGCAGTCCCTGCTGTCTAACAAATCAACCCAGTTTTTCTTTCATTTCTTTTCACGTGGGCTCCTTTCCAACCCTAGCTCCAGCTCCCCACAGTCACCTCATTGGCGGAGCCCGTGAGTTGCCCCAGCTTTTATCTGGCCTTTCTGAAAGCTGGCCGGGAAGGGCAGGGAGTCAGGCAGGATTTGGACAGCCGCTGCAAGAAACGGTGCTGGCGCGCCCCCTGGTGGAATGAGGCGGAACTGCAGGTGCTCGGTTCCGGCTCCACCCCCGGGCAAGGGCTTCCAGGTCACCTGGGAGTCTCCGCCCAATAGGACAGACCTCACCCGCAGCGGAGGCGGTGGCGCTGGGGACCAAGCTGGGGAGCTTGCAAGGAGAGAGGGTAAGGGGCATGCAGTATTGGGGAAGCCAGAAGGGGTGGTCAGAAGAGGGGCATGGGACTTTTGGAGAAGGGTGGGGTAGCAAGGGAGATGGTCCCACGACTGTACGCAGGGACCAGGACTCCCAGTAGGGCAGGGCCCTCACATGCAGGGTCTGAGCCCGCCTGCTGACTCCCAAGCCTGGAGCTTGGGGAGAGAGTAGGTGCTTCCGTTGCACACGCTGTGCCTAGAGTGTGGTGGGGTGCCGAGAGTCCAGAACCCAAGGACAGTGTCTTCCCCGAGTGTCTTTGGACGTATTGAGAGAGAGGCTCCGTAGGACTGAGCCGTGGCCAGGATGGTGGAGAGGTGGCATGGGAGAGACTCACTCACTCCTACCTCTCCCCAGATGGCATCATCCAACCCTGACGCCCCATGTTCCTGTGACTGCTTTGTCTCGGTGCCCCCTGCCTCGGCCATCCCAGCTGTGATCTTTGCCAAGAACTCAGACAGACCCCGGGACGAAGTGCAGGAGGTGGTGTTTATGCCAGCAGAAACTCATGTTCCTGGGAGCCAGCTCCAGGTGGGTTAGGCCTTATGGGGTGCCGGGAGGTGTGGCAGATCTAGGCATTCTTCTAAAACCTTCCTCCTCTGCTCCCCATACCCAGAAGCCGCCAGATATGGTGGAAAGAGCATGAGCTTCGAGTCTAGCAATCTGGCCATAGCCTATTATTTAACCTCTGTTGGCCTCAGTTTCATCATCTGTAAAATGGGAATGATAAGACCTTCCTTTAAGAGCTAAGGGGACTGGCACACTCCCCCTTTCTGGGTGGATTCTCCCTTCTCCTCCTTTACCCACAGTGCACCTACATTGAGGTGGAACAGGTGTCGAAGACCCACGCCGTGATCCTGAGCCGCCCTTCTTGGCTGTGGGGGGCTGAGATGGGCGCCAACGAGCATGGTGTTTGCATTGGCAACGAGGCCGTGTGGACCAAGGAGCCAGTTGGGGAGGGGGAAGCCCTACTGGGCATGGATCTGCTCAGGTGCGGACCCTGCCCTCTCTCATCTTTTCAACACGCCGGACCTCTGGGGGCTGAGTACCGACCCAGGCCATCCTCCCCTCCCCCAAGCCTGGGCAGCAGGGTCTCCTTTCCGCCCACCATGCCCCCACCAGGGAGGCTGCTCCTGCCCGCCTTCTCCTGGCCCCATCTCCACAGCCAGGTAAGGAGCTAACAAATCTGGCCACCTCTGGGCCTCTGGTGGCCCAGAAATATGGCAGTGGTATTAAATTGTTTTTTCAGTACGAGTAACGTTTTTTTCAAATGAAATCTCATATGGAGTCCCGATTTGTAAAACCAGTAAAGCAGAGCAGCTCGGATTAAAGAGAGGTTGGGGAGCTGGGGATGTATCTCTCCCCGAGGCTATGTTTCAGACCTTTCCATGGAACCCGTGTAGACAGCTTGAAAACCACTGGCCTAACTGTGCTAAATACAACCAATGTGGGCAAGTTTCCTGTGACTTGGGCCTATCATCAAACCTCTCTGGGCCTCTCCTGTCCCCTGGAGCTTCTGCCATCAGCCACTGATAGCCCCTCGCCCTTCTATCCCCTGGACCTCTCTTTGTGCCAGGCTGGCTTTAGAACGGAGCAGCTCAGCCCAGGAGGCCTTGCACGTGATCACAGGCTTGCTGGAGCGCTACGGGCAAGGGGGCAGCTGCCGAGAGGACCCCACGCCATTCTGCTACCACAACACCTTCCTGCTGGCCGACCGTACTGAGGCGTGGGTGCTGGAGACGGCGGGGAGGCTGTGGGCTGCACACAGGATCCAGGGTGAGGGGACCGGCATGGGGCTGGCCTCCCAGAGCTGTTCCCCTTCTGCCAGGCTTGAGAGGGGGTGGGAAAGATGGTGCGGGCAGGGAAGGCCCTATCCAGGTGCAAACCTCTTGGGTTGCAGGGACATCTGGGGAGATGGGAAATGAACCCCCATGGGAACTTATCCTCCCCCCTTCACTTGGTAAAGTCTTCTTGTGCTCCAACCTGCTGCTTCCCCTGGGGAGCCTTCCTGGACTTCCTGGTGGTCAGGTTTCCCCCTTCCGTGTAACCAGGCGCCTCTTCTTGATCACACTCACCACAGTTGCAAGCTCGCGTTTATTTCTGTGATCGTTCTGTCTGTCTCCCCCTCCACGAGGCAGGTCTGTTCTTTTCACTATTGTGTTCTCAGCACCTAGCCTAGTGCCTGGTGCAGAATAGGTGCTTAATGATAAATGAGCAATCCCTGTCTCCTCCACAGAGGGGGCCCACAACATCTCCAACCAACTGAGCATCGGCACGGACATCTCTGCAGAGCACCCCGAGCTTCGGACCCACGCCCAGGCCCAGGGCTGGTGGGGTGGGCAGAGCACCTTTGACTTCGCTCAGGTCTTCTCCCTGACCCAGCAGCCTGTGCGCATGGAGGCCGCCAAGGCCCGCTTCCGGGCTGGGCGGGAGCTGCTGCAGCAACAGCAAGGTCAGTGGGTGGACGGGTGGGGGCTAGGAGGGCCAGAGCGGTGCCAGCCTCTCTCCCATTCCATAGCTTCGGGGGGTTTGCTCTGAGGCCAGAGGTCCCCCTCTGCCCTGGGGCCCCCTCACCAGGTCCTCCTTGGCAGGGGGCATCACGGCCGAGGTGATGATGGGCATCCTCAGGAACAAGGAGAGCGGCATCTGTATGGACTCCGGAGGCTTCCGCACCACGGCCAGCATGGTGTCCATCCTGCCCCGGGATCCCACACAGCCCTGCGTCCACTTCCTCACTGCCACGCCAGACCCGTCCAGGTGAGAGGCATGCGGGTGGGGAGGGCTGGGGAGAGTGCCAGGCAGGGGCGATGGAGGGACGTGATAGCCCTCGATTCTTCCATCTGTGTCCCATTAGGTCAGTGTTCAAACCTTTCATCTTTGGGGTGGGGGCGGCCCAGGCCCCCCAGGTGCTCTCGCCCACTTTTGGAGCACAGGACCCTGCTCGGACCCTGCCCCGATTCCAGACTCAGGTGGATCGCCGGCACATTCTCTACCGTGGACACCAGGTGGCCCTGGGGCTGATGGAGAGTGAGCAGGTAACCCCCAGGGAATAGGGCTACCCTAGGGGGAACGAGTCACCTCCCCCACCCACAACTGGGGCTTTGGAAATATGAGGGGACCTGGGAGTGGAGAGACTCTAGAGCTGGGGAGAGGGGTCTCTCCCTTCAAAGCCAGGTGCTCAGGAGGATGTCGGGTGGTCTATCCTTTCTCCTGCTTGTGTAAGACAGCAGACATGCCCCCCTTAATCTGGAGGGAAGCCCCTGGACTCTGTCCCCAGGGCTCATCTCTACCATTCCTGGGCAGGGTCAGGGGCAGCAGCTCCGGCAGAAGCAGCGGGACCTGGAGCAGGAAGGCCTGGAGGCTGCGCGGGAGCTGCTGGCTGGGGAGTGGGCCCCACCGCCCCAGGAGCTGGGCGGCCTCTTCCAGGCCTTTGTGGAGAGGGAGAGCCAGGTGTACGCCTGAGCAGCACAGCTCCTCACAGCCTGGGCTGGGGTGCAGGGGGCTGGGGGTGGGCGCAGGACCCCTGGGGTAGTGGGATCAGAGCAGTCCCTTCGCCACCCTCACCTTGTTCTGAGTGGCTAGCTCGGCCTTTGCCTTAATAAATGTTTTATTTCCTTGTTCAGTGAACTTGATCCCATGTCCAGTGGGGGTGGGAGAGCCAAGTGAAGGCAAAGGGCAGTGCTGAGCTGGCCACAGGGCCTCTGGTTGCCTTGCGGGGCAGCAGCTTCTTCTGACTTGGGGGATGGGGACTCGATGGTGAACGTCACGGAGGGGCCTGTGAGGAGGGGCGGCCTCCCCAGACGTGTGAGTGTGTGTGCATGAAACATCATGCCTGGCACAGTAGGCAGTTTCTGTTTGGGAAGAATTAGGACCACAGCTTGAACCTTGGAAGGCCACTCCCTAGGGGTAGCAGTGAGATGTGCCCACCATGAGACGGCCTCCTCCCCTCAGGGGCCAGGCAGCCAGGTGGGGTCCCTGAGAAGGTGCCAGCCCTGTGGGTAGTTCCTGAACTATCAGAAACTTGTTCTTTGGAGTCAGGCTGCTCATTAAGGTTCTGCTTTTCTGCGACTGTCGCCCAGTGCCTGTACTGACTGCTTCCCCTGAGATGCCCCCAAGTGACGTGAAAGACATCTTCAGGGCCTGGAGACACTTTATTGGGGCTAGGCTCCTGCCACAGGTGAGGGCTCTGAGAACGAGGGGCCCACCCACTCCTTGTTCGCCCCATTCCTTGTGCCTGCGGCTTTGCTGATAGGGATGGGCTGCGCTTCATTTCTTGATTCTTTTGGTCATAGTTTTGGTTGTGCTGGTGGCTCCGGGCAGAGGGGCCTTAGGGGCTGTGGCTGCTCTGGGCCCCTTCCTTGCCTGGACAGTGCTGTGCTGGCCCCTGGGAACCGGAGGGCACGGTTTCTTGGTGGCAGAGGAGACTTGGGGTAAGGAGGCAGGCTTGGGGGGTGTCTCCTTCCCCTCCCTGGGAATGCCAGAAGGGCTGCTGTCCCCAGCCATGGGCCCCCCAGGCAGCATGGGGAGGTCAGTGAGCACCGGCTGTGTCTCCATCCTCAGAAGGTGCTCCATCAGGGCCGCCTGCTGCCTGTGCTCCTTGTGCCTGCTCATCTCCTGCTCCAGCTCCTTGAGGAAGCCTGTGAGGGGCCGGGATGGGGGGTGGTGGATGGAGCCCCAGGTTCAGCAGGAGGGTCCCTGGGCTGAGGCAGAAGGTCTCTGGCTGACTCCCTGAGCAGACTACCCCCCTGTCATCCCTAATGGGGAGGAGCTTGAGGCTGGGGCAGGGAGGCTGTGTCACCTGCATGCCCAGACTGATACCTGGCCCTGGCTGCATTGTCCGTCCTCCTCTGGCCCTGATGCTGATCTAGACTTGGGGCCACCTCCCCAGACACCAGAGGGCAGGAGTGAGCTCTGGGGAGGCTGCAAGCCTTGGAAAGCAGGGTCACCTTGCTCTGAGCAGAATGGGCTGCTCAGCTCCGGGAACTCCTCGTCCTCATCGCCTGAGGCTTTCTCCTCTTCGTCCGAGGCCCAGCGCTCTGACACACGCTGCCCATCCAGGTCCAGGAGCAGTGGCAGAGCTTCTGTCACCAGCTCCCTGCAGGGCAGAAAGAGCAGAGGCTACCCAGGAGAGCACTCCTGGGTGGAGCCTGGGAGGATGTGAAGACACAGGCCACCACACTCACACCCGGAGGGCAGGTGGCTCACCAGCTGGGAGATGGGCTTGTGGTCAGCCCCAAAGAGCTAAGGGCTGGCTCCGTGTGGAGTTATGGGGGTGGAAGGGAAAAAAGGGCTGACTTGAGCTGGGGTTGGGGAGGAGAAGGTGCCATGGACAGTGACCTCAGGTTTGCAGGCTGAGGGGGAGCCCACGTGGAGTGAGGAGGAGCTCAGACATACTCCTTTCTGCCATCTTCAATTCCTCCTCACCTGTAGCCATCCTGATTGGTGCAGCTGTTTCCAGTGAGGTTGAGGATGAGAAGGCTCTGGGGGAACTCATCTGCATGCACCAAAGAGGGGAATGAGGCTCTCATACCCATCGAACAGCCCGAATACTACCTCTCTGCCCAGCCCCCGGCCGCCTGGAAGATGTGCCGCTAATGGAAGCACAAGGAGATGGGGCAGAGAGGAGGGAGGGCCCCACATGGACTGATTCATGAGCCGGGGCAAGGGCGTTCCTACCCAGCTTCAGGGTTTCTATCAGGTTCTCAGAAAGGTCCAGCAACTGGAGGTACGGGAGGACAAGGAGGTTTTCCACCTGCCTGATTTGGTTTCCTGCCAGAGACAGGAATCTGTAGGGGAAGGGAGGGGTGCAGAGACAGAGCTGAATCAGAACAGCTGGAGGGGGCAGGGAGGCACCAGGCGCCCAGGCCCCCTGGTGAGGCACCTGGATGTCAAGTGGGGACAGAATGGCCTTCTGGGGTGAGGCAGAGTAGGCTTGCTAGGTCCTCAGCTGGCAAGAAGCCAGGCTTGGAGAGGTCTGAACCAGTTTTTTGGGAGTGTTCCTAGGTTTCCCTCCTGCCCCCCACAGCCCCCGCCTGAGCTTGGCACCACATACCGCAAGGAGGGGATGCAGGCCAGGTTCTCAATTCGCTGGATCTTATTCTGCAGGAAAAAACCAAGGCAGGGAAACCAAGCTGAGGTCAGCTGGGTGGGGGACCTTTAAAGGGACAAAGCCTCAAGACCAGGTCCACTCTTAGCTGGAGATCTGGAACCTTGAGGATGAGCACCACCTCTTTGAACTGGCAGTCACTACCCTGGGATGACTTGCTTTCTCCATGTGGATGGTTAAGGGTGTAAACTTGGGGCTGGCCAAACTTGATTAAAGGTTACCTTGTTCACCCGAAAACCAAAGGGTGACCTGGAAATCAGAGAAGGAAACCAAGGGGCCACAGGGAAATGGAAAAGGCCTTGTTGGTGGCTTGTGTACATGGAGGGAACAACGAACATATATGACTTCGCTTTGTAAAGTTCCTGTAGGGGAGGGTTAAGGGAGCTGGGTATATTCGACCACGGCTGAAGATCAACAACCAACCACCACCACCAGCAGCCTTCCAGGTTCTGAAGGATGCAGAGGAATCTTCTTGGTTCCCTCTTTCTCTTCTTCAAAACAGGAAATGGGCTCGAGCTATATAACATGAGAGATTTAGGGCAGACACCAAGAAGAACTTCTAGACCAAGAGAAGTGTCTGAGAAAAAACTGATTCAAGAGCATGCTCTGGATCTCTTGGGAGGATTGGTCTTTCAATTCAGAAGAATTCCTGATTCATCTGGGAATAGTTTCAGTGAAGGCCTGCCTGCCTGAGCCCCAGGGAATGGGCACGACAGCCTGGCTGGCTCCTTTCAGATTAGACAGACTTGCCCCACAGCGGGCCAGGGCGGAGGCAAGGGAAGGCACAAGGAGTTACCGCTTGCAGATAGAGGCTGTGAAGATTCTGGAGGCCCTCCAGGTTCTTGATGGTGGTAATCCCCTCCCGGTCCAGGCGGACAGTCTGCAGTTCAGCAAGAGTGTGAAACCTAGAGAAGGGTCAGCAGAGGGTGAAGCAGAGTGTAGCAGGGGAGGTGTTTCGTGGAGGGGTGGAGGGGTGGATGGCTGAGTGACTTTGACCAGGTGTCAGGTGCACCTTCTTGGCTCATGAGGTGGTGTCCAGATCATGAATCTGGGTTGACTTGGAGACCAGGGTCTCTGTCAGCAGCACTGGGAAGGATCAGAGGGAGAGACGTGCGAGGGCCTTTGGACTGGGGAGCTGGTAATGGCAGCTTATGGTTCCTGGAGAGACACTGAGGCAAGGGGAGCCTCCTCGAGCCAGCTCGGATGGTGGAGGCTGAGGCTGGAACAGAGATGAGACCATCTCTGCAGGAAGATCTTTCCTCACCTCCCTTTTGAGAGGGAGGGAAAGTCACTTGTTCCATCCACTCACTCATTAATTCTACAGCATTTACTGTGTGCCTACTAGAGACAAATGAGCGTCCCTGCCCGCCACTATTAGGGGAGCAGGCCAAACATCTATGACAAGTGGATGACAGAGGCAAGTGCAAGGGACTAAGGCAGTACGTGGGCTGTGCACCGAGTCTAGAGTAGGGGGATCAGGGAATGCTTCCTAGAGGAGGTGACTGATGAGTAGGAGTTAGCCAGGAAGGTGAGGAGAAGGCATTTCAAGCAGAAGGAAGAGTATGTGCTAATCCAGCCCTCCTCTGACTTTAATGTGCCCATGAATCCCTTGGGGATCTTGCTAAAATGCAGATTCTGATCCAGCAGGTCTGAGGTGGGCCTGAGATTCTTCATTTCTAACCAGCTCCCAGGTGATGCTGATGTGCATGCCAACCCCAGCACCACTCTGAGTAGTGAGGTGCTAAGGTGAGAACACAAGGTCTTACAGGAATTGCACACTGTGTAGAGTGGCAAGAAATAAGGCTGAGGAGCCAGCCCCGTGGTGTAGTGGTTAAGTTCAGGGCGTTCCGCTCCGGTGGCCTTGGTTTGCAGGTTCAGATCCTGGGCACAGACCTACACCACTCATCAGCCATGCTGTGGCGGTGACCCACATATAAAGTGGAGGAAGATTGGCACAGATGTTAGCTCAGAGCCAATCTTCCTCAAGCAAAAAAAGAGGAAGATTAGCAACAGATGTTCGCTCAGGGCCAATCTTCCTCGGGGTGAGGGGGAAAGAAATAAGGCTGAAAAGACAGCAGAGTTCAACTCATGCTAAGGTGTTTGGATTTTATTCTTGTGGTACTTGGGAGCCAAGGCAGGTTCTATCAGGGAGTTTGTCATTTAAAAGAATCATTTTGGCAACAGTAACAGTATGGGGAGTCTGCACTGGGGGTAGAGAGAGTAATTAGTTTTTTGAGAGGTGATGACAGCCTTATCTAAGGCAGTTGAGTGGGCATGGTGAAAAAGAAACGGAATGATTTTTTTTTTTTTTCCTTCCCAAAGCCCCCCGGTACATAGTTGTATATTCTTCGTTGTGGGTCCTTCTAGTTGTGGCATGTGGGACGCTGCCTCAGCATGGTTTGATGAGCAGTGCCATGTCCGCGCCCAGGATTCGAACCACCGAAACACTGGGCCGCCTGCAGCGGAGCGCGCAAACTTAACCACTCGGCCACGGGGCCAGCCCCTGGAATGATTTTTAAGGAAGGAAAATCAATTGGATATTACCACTGATTGAATGTGTGAAGTAAAGAAGGGGACAAAGATGAGTTGACAAATCAGTACAGCCCAGGGGACTAGTCATTCTGCGTTTCAGTCTTCCAGCACCCCTTTCCTCCCCCGTGCACTCACATCTTCTCTGACAGATCCTCATCCTGAGGGAAGGCCAAATTCCGCTTAGTGATAAGGGCTTCAGTGATGCACACGTCCCCTTCCTCTGGACTCTCGCCAAGATTAGCTGTGAAAAGATGCCTCCAGTTGTTACACTTCCTTGTTCTTGGAGGCCTGACCCCACTGTTATCCAACAGTTCTACCCACCATCCCACCTCCCTACTCACCTCCAGGCATGATCTAAAGGCTGCTGGCCTGGGGCGGGGTTGGAACGAAGCGGAGCCGGGCAGTTTGGACCGCCCCTGGGGATGGCGGAACTCAGGACAGTATGAGAAGAAGCTCAGAGACTTGGGGAACAAGGGAAAAGGGTTGATTCGGGGCAAATTATTGAGGTGGGATAGAAGACAAAAGTAAATGGAGGTGGAGGGTCTGGAGTTTGATGGGTGTAGAGCGGCTCCGTGGATCGCACACCGGGGGATTGAGGGTGCAGGAGAGGAAAGCACGGCTCCTAGGAGTCTGGCGTCGTTGCCAGGAGACCGGACGCCAGGTGGGGCGTCAGGGAGGGTGGGGTGGCAGTTGCCGGGCTCAGCGCATGCGGATTACTGCTCCAGCCGGCGGATCTGCCCGCTACTTCCGGCCGCAGGGCTTCCCACAATCCTTAGCACCTTCCGTCTCGGTCGCCTCCCGTCGCTTCTTCCGGTGGCGATGGCTGCGGCCGTGGTTGGGACGCTGCGAGGGGTTCTCCTGCCCCAGGCGGGTAAGGAGCAGCACAAGTCCTCATGGCGCGTTCCGGCCGGTGGTCTCTGGTCCTCGTCTCCCCGCCTCTACTACTGATCTCCTCCCCTAATCTCTGACCCCAGGCCGCTCCCGATGACCCCAGCTAGATCGCCGGCCTCCTTCCCCCATCTAATCCCTCGTGACTGCTGAGTCTACTAATAACAGCAACACAGCAATAATGTCAACGACAGCCGCAATATTTATTCCCCACGCCGCAGCCCCTCATTTTCTTTGGGTTTCTGTAACCCACCACCCAGCTCTTGCTCGCCCCTAGAGTTTTCTTTGCCTGGACCACTCTCCGGCCCGACCTTGGGGCCATGCCCCCTGCTTAAGGTCTCAGCCTAAATGTCACCTCCTCAGGCTTTCCCTGGCCACCCTCTGCAGAGAAGATTTCCTCTATTAAATCTGTACATTGCACCGTGTTTATTGACCCCTTAGGCATATCATAGTCTGTAATTTTGCATTTATTTGTCGTCTTCTCTGTTAAACTCCCTAAGGGCAGAGCCCTATTCATTCATCAAAGCAGGTGGCATGGTGCCTGACCTTAGTAGGCATGCAATAGATGTTTGCTTAGTGAATGATTTTGAGCACATAATTTAGGCCAGGTACAGTGGTAAGTGCTTTACATGTCTCACCTCCATTAAGTCTTACAGCACCCTATGAAGAAGTCTCACCCCAGCAATTCTCCATGCTCTCTGACTGTTAGAGCCACTTTCTAGGGGAGCTTTTCCCTGAGGTCCCATCGCAATCTTGGGAAAGGCTGAAAGTGGGGAGCTCTAGCTTGGGTTCTTTCGTCGAGGATGAAGGGGTCGCTTTGCCTCAGGGCTTTCAAGTGGCTCCCTTGTCTTCTGAGGGGCACTCTCAGTGACGCCTTTGAACAAGAAGAGCAGAAGGAAGGGAGACTAGTTTGGGGAGCTGTGAGGACCGTGTAACTTCTTTTCCCCTCTTGCTTCAAATTGAGGGAGAAGGCTTCAGAGCAGTGCTTACGGCAGTGGTTTTCAAACTTTGGCATGCGTCAGGAGCACTGTTTGCTGACTCCACTCCGGTAGCTTCTGATTCAGTGGGTCTGGGATGGGCCCTGAGAATTTGTATTTCTAACAAGTTCCTAGGCGATGCTGAGGTTGGGATGGGGGTTGGGGATATACTCTGAGAACCACTCGCTTAGACCAGGGATTGGCAAATTATGGCAGGGCTGGTCACCAGGTTTTAGAGATAGTTTTGTTGGAGCACAGCCACATTTATTTGTTTATATTTTGTCTGTGATTGCTTTCCTGATACAAGGGCTGAGTTGAGCAGTAGCAAGTGTCTGTATGGCTCTCAAACTTAACGTATTTATTTTTTGGCCATCTAAGGAGAAGTTTGCTCAGTCCTCTCCCCTGTTTTTTAATGTGTTCAAATTGCTTTCGTCTTTGTTCTCATCTTTCCCCCATCTCTGTGCATAAAGAAGAGCTGGAGAAGTGGGAGCCTCAACGGATAAAGGAACTGACCTAAGGTCACGCGTTAAAGAGAAGAGAAGATTTGGGAATTCAGAATGTCCCACTCTTGTGCTGAGTTTAGCTCTCTGCACGTGGTTCTCTCTGCCCAGAGGGTGGCCGCTTTTTTTTTTTTTTTTGGAGGAAGATTAGCCCTGAGCTAACTACTGCCAATCCTCCTCTTTTTGCTGAAGAAGACTGGCCCTGAGCTAACATCCATGCCCATCTTCCTCTACTTTATACGTGGGATGCCTACCACAGCATGGCTTTTGCCAAGCGGTGCCATGTCCGCACCCGGGATCTGAACCAGCGAACCCCGGGCCGCCAGGAAATGGAACATGCGAACTTAACCGCTGCGCCACTGGGCCGGCCCCGAAGGTGGACTTTTCTCCATCTAGAGCTGACTAAGGCCTCCAAGAGGCTGCATCTCACCACACTGCCGTTTCCTCTTCCAGGCCGGCTGCCCACACTCCAGCCTGTCCGCTGTGGCTCCAAGGCCGTTACCCGCCACCGTCGTGTGATGCACTTTGAGCGGCAGAAGCTGATGGCTCTGACTGAGTATATCCCCCCTAAACCGGCTGTCAACCCGAGATGCCTGCCGCCTCCTCCCAGGCCCCCCCCAGAGGTGAGGAGGAGGCTGGGCGTGTTGATTGGTGGTGGGGTCTGGTCTCTGTGGCCATAATGAAGTAGCACCCCAGGACACAGTCATTCACATCATTACTTCCCCACTCTGACCCCGTGGTCCAGATACTTTAAAATAGAATCTGTACTTGATCCTGCCTTAGCCTTTGGGCTCTGTGGATTGGACGGGTTTCCCGAAATTCTTTCACTCATTACTTGTCTCCAAAATCGTGTGTGTGAAAGCTCTCCAGGCAGGTGGGAGTAGGGGAGGGTATCTCTCCTGTCTTGAAAGGACTTGAAGCTCCCACATTTTCCTAGAAGGATGATAGAGGTTTCCTTAAAAAAGAACAGAGAGACCAGTGGAGAATTTGTAATTTTATGGTGCTTCTCAGGGCCACAATTTCTCAACTTTGAAAAGCACTGTCTTAAGAAAATGTCTTGTTCTGTGAAAATCTTTCAATTTTGAATTAACACTGCAAAAGAATTATCTCATATTTATAATTGGTAAAATAATTCAACATGAGTACAGTGTCTGAGGGATAATTGGAGTAATTTTGACGACATTATGGTCAAATAACGGTGACTGGGTCAGACTGCTGACCAGTTCAGGGGGACTGAGCATTCTCGGGTTTGAAAAACACTTCTCTGAGGACTGTGATTATCTAATGAAAATGAAAAGGTTACAGTTGGAGGTGGAGCATGTCTCTGAGAGTCGGGGGCCCAACCATCCTGCTGTTCTCTGATCTTTCAAACGTTTGGGCGTCACTGGGAGCCCCAGCAGTGCCCCTGTGGGAGCAGGGGATGCAAGGAGAAGAGGCAGCTTAGTCCCCTCGGTCATCTCTCTTTGACTTTAGGACACCGGCCTTCTGCGGCTCCTCCGCCGGGAGATAGCAGCGGTTTTCCGAGACAACCGAATGATAGCTGTCTGCCAGAATGTGGCTCTGAGTGCAGAGGACAAGCTTCTTATGCGGCACCAGCTGCGGAAACACAAGATCTTGATGAAGGTCTTCCCCAACCAGGTAGGGAGTGGCCCTCTGGTGGGGTTGCCCATATTCCCCTGCCCCTGCCAACTCACCCCGGCATCTCTCCCTAGATGTGGCACTTCGGACTCCTCCCTCCACAAGCGACCCTCTAGTCTGGTGCCTGAACTGTGATTAGGGGCTGAAGAGACCCTTGGGTTGTATCCTCAGCCTCATGCGGCCTGTGACCAAGGTGGGCGGCTCTTCCTCCCACTTGTCCCTAAGAAGCCCTTCTTTCCTGCTGTCCAGGTCCTGAAGCCCTTCCTGGAGGATTCCAAGTACCAAAACCTGCTGCCCCTTTTCGTGGGGCACAACCTGCTACTGGTCAGTGAAGAGCCCAAAGTCAAGGAGATGGTGCGAATCTTGAAGGGTATGCCTTTCCTGCCACTGCTAGGTGAGCAAGCACCCCTGCCACTCAAGGGTGGGATCAAGGGAGCGGGTACTACAGCAACCTGGTGCCATCTCCTAGGCTTGTGTGGGTAAAGCCGTGGACATCCTTCAAGGGGACATCTTCCCACGAATGGGGCCTGAGTCAATAACACCATTTGCTGAGGGCTGCCTGTGTCACTCTGACCATGCTGGCTCACTATCTGCATCATTTCTGCACCGGCGGGACTAGGGGAGGCAGAGAGAGGGTTCTGCGGGGGGAGGAAGTTCAGACACCTTGAGTCTAGCACTGGGGTCGTGGGTGCTGAAACCCACACAAAGATGCTTAAAGCAAATAGCCCAAGTAAAGGATGCTGAGGGTCCGTGAGTGATGTTTCCCACACTCCCGTGATGCTCACGATCCACGGAGGTACCTATTCGGTGGAGAACGCTGATTTCATAGGTCTCTGTTGGGGGGCAGGAATCTGTGTTTATGACATCAGCGCCCCCTTCACACCTACACGCACACCCCATGGTTCTTCAAGAAGGTTTAGGAAACAGTGACTTCGTAGAGTCAGGCCAGGTGGATGTGTCATGTGCGAGTTTTCCAGGGAAGGGTTAGGAAGGGAGGGAGGGGATCCACACCCAGCAGTGTGAGAGCGGAGTGGGGCACCAGTGCGAACCAGATTTGGGGTAAGGCCGGGAGGAGGAGAAGAGCAATGGAGAGCAAATGCTTAGGGCTGGAACATTGTTTTCAGAGAGGAAAGGCATTGGTGGGGAGCCCGTCTGACCCTGTGCTCTTCCAGGTGGCTGCATTGACGACACCATCCTCAGCAGGCAGGGCTTCATCAACTACTCCAAGCTTCCCAGCCTGGCCCTGGTGCAGGGGGAGCTGGTGGGAGGGCTCTCCCTCCTCATGACCCAGACCCACTCCGTGCTTCAGCACCAGCCCCTCCAGCTGACTGCCCTGTTGGATCAGTACGTCAGACAGCAACACGAAGTGGACTCCGCCGTGCCAGCCAGTGGGCAGCCCGATCCTCCCACCCCTGTTCCGGACTCGTAGCCAGCTTGTTGTGCCCAGCCTGCCCATAAATACACTCTGCCCCGCAACTGTGCCGTCATCCGTTGGAGATGTGGAAGAACTCGGGGTGGGGAGTGGCGTTTGTCACCTGGCTTTCACTGACAGTGACCTCCTCAGATACAGGGCCACTCGGAGATGCAGAGGGATTCCATTTCAGAACGGTGGCTCTTCATCGCTGTCTTCCCTAGTTTTCCCAACTTGGGACCTAATAGAAGCAGTCTCTTTCAGCTCTCTGGGCCCAAGGCAGAGAAGATGAACAGAGGAGGGTACTGCCCTCTGCCTCCGTGTTCACTGTCCCTTGCTGCATGTGTCTCCCAGCCTATCACCTTGGGAGCCTAACATGCCAGAATAGCTCAACTGAGTAATTGTGCTCGGAATGGCATCTGTTGAGAACCTCTATGCCTCCCACCTTACATGTGTTAGCTCTTTTATTCCTCCCTGTGTCATCCCCATTTGACAGAGAAGAAAACTAAAGGGCGGAGAAGTTAAATAGGCTGCCCAAGGTCGTGCAGTTAGTAAGTAGCAGGACAGGACTTGAGCCAGGCTCTCTGCTCTGAAGACCGTGCCCTGAGTTTCTACACTAAAGAGTGCTCATTAGGGTCCCAGGTGTGCTTGGTTGTTAATTCTCCGCCCTCGGGGTGTACTGTGTTCTGGAAGGGTTGGGAGCACTGCTTTATGATAAAAATGAAATGCATTTTACTTATTCTGTTTTGCCATTTACAAGCTTATCCTCCCTGTAGACTTATTCTCAGGGTCATCTCTAACTCTCATGTCCCTTCCTAGAAAATCCTTCCTCTTCCTGCATCCAAGCCTGTTTTCTCCCTATACCTCCTCCCACAAGTGGCATCTCTTACATGCTTGTCCTTTTGAAGGCAGCTGCCAGCTTTGCCCAGTAGCTAACATGTGTCAGGTGGTTCTGAGTGAAAGAGCTGGGGGGAAAACCAGGATTCTCTGTTAACGAGGGGTCTGGGGGCTCTTGAGTAGGCCTCATCCAAGTCTCAGGGAGCCAGGAATTCCTAATGAAGGAGAGAGGATGTTTAACCAGAAGCCTACTCTTGTCCTTGATTGGAACATGTTCTGGGTGGACATGGGGTGATTGTGGGGGGCGGGCAGGGGGGCTGTTGAGCATTCCTGGACTTGGAGCAGTGCCAAAACTTCCTTAGTCCTGGACTCGTTTGGTGATCTGCAGCAGCTTTTCCTGTGTCCTGGTCCAGGACCAACTTCCCCCAGTGCCCAGCTCTGTGCCTTATGCCCAGGGATGCTCAATCCATCCATATGAAGTGAAATAAAAGGCCCTTGAGGCTCTTGGATGCCAGAGGTGGTCTGGCCAGTGCCGCCCAGTGCTCTCCTGACTCCCAGACCCCTGCCAGGTGCTAACAACACGCTCCTCATGGAGGGAGCAGCGCTGAGGGTCTGAATGGCGTGGAGAGAGCAGGCCTCTTCTGAGAGACATGTAAGACCCTGAACGGTCAGCCAAGGCCTGTGTGGGGACAAGGTTGAGGGGGAAGTGGCCCACATTATTTCTGGGGTCAAAGAAGAACCTTGCATTGCATACTTTACCTGCTGGCAGTGCCTGAGGCCCCACCACTGAAAACCCACTTCTTTCCAGAGAGAGACTTCATGGCATTTAAAGCTGTCAGTCCATTTCACATTTGTTTGAATGAATTTTAGATATTTCTCAAGAGCTGATTTTTAATTAGAATTGAGCAGCTAAACACAGTACTCCAGCAGAAGGGCAAAAGTGCTCAGAAAGGGAAGCCAAGGTTACTGGAGTTGGCTCCAGCCAGCCCTTTCACAGCCAGCTGGTTCCTGCCCCACACTGACTCCTCATCCAGAGACTCAGCAGGCTCCAGGGTTTATCTTATTGCATAGGTGCTGCCAGCCCCCGATGGGGCCTGACCTGGTGGGGCATCACCCCACAATGATAGCCTCAGTGTGGGGGTGGCTGGTTGGCCCTCGAGGCTTGACTGTCCTGCTGACTGTGCTCTTGGCACTGTGTATTGTGGTCCCATGGGGGCATCCATCCCTTCCTGTCAACCTGATACCTTTGCTGGCTCCAAATTTTGCAGTCTATTTTCAGATGTAAAACGAGAGGTGGGTTAATAAGGAAATGGCCTTGGGTACTAACTGGGGTCAAGGCTGTGCTAGTCTGAGTAAACCCTTTACCATCTCTGGCTTGAGGCCAGCAGCTCCCCAGTCCTCTGTGATCTATCTGGAACTGTGCCCAGTGGGAACTGCCCCCACTCCCAAGCTCAGCGCTGGGGAGTCCGCTCAGCCCTGAGTCCTCCGGAGAGCAGGGGGGCAGAGCTGAGCGGCCGCCCGCAGCTCAACAGGAGGAGGGGCCGGCAGAGGGGGAGGTGGGGAGATCCGGCTAGAGGGGAGGCTCCAACGTCTCCTTCCTTCCTGGTTCCTGCAGCAGCTGCTGCCACTGCTCAGCTCAGCTCGGAGAGGAGAGAGCAGGCGACTTAGAGACGGTGACTCAGAGACGGAGCAGCGCGCGGGCCAAGGAACACTGGCGTCCATGGACCCTGGGGTAAGGGGGCCGCACTGGCATCAGCTGATGTTCCCCGAGGGGGCTTCCTCCCACCTGAAGCTGGCGGGTCTGCTCCTCCGGAGATGGGGACCAGAATGGAGGTGGAGAGGGGGCACCCACCTGGCTCCCCTCCACCCCTCACCCTCTACTGACGGAGCCTTCCCTCCACACGCAGGCAATGAGGGGCCAGGACCCCACAGGGCCAGGAAAGAGACACAGAGATACCCAAGCACCGGAAGAGTTTGGGAACTTTCAATGGCTGAATGCAGGAGTTTCCCCTTGGGTCAGCCTCTGACAGCTTGAGCCCCACTGCCCTGAACTTCTGGCCACCCCTACCCCACTGCGTCGCTGTCCCCTCCCGGCCTCAGCTCCATCGGAAGATCTGAGCTGTTTCCCCAGCCTCGGGTGAACCTCGCCCCTCCAGTCCCTTCCCCCATCTCACACACACACAGCCTTATGCATAATTGATCTCTCCGTGGAGCCGGGATGGCCAGGGCTGGTGCCAAGGGCGCCTGTGGGCACTGCTGTGGGACCTGTGTGGACCTCAGTGTGTTCTTGACCACCTCTTCTCCCACCCAGCGTCTCCATCAGCTCAGCCCCCTGCTCTCTCTGGATGGGTGGTACTTCTCAGGAGCCCCAGGGACGGGGGTGGTAGAAAAAAGATGGGGAGGATTTGAGGGGGACTGAGTGTCCAAGGTGGGAATCCTAGGGTGATGTTTGATGGGAGGAGGCACGGGGAAAAGTGGGGGCTGTCTCAGGCCTCAGTTTGCCATGCAGAAAATGGGAGCCTAGGAACTAGAGGATATGGAGACTGATTGGTGGCGAGTCAGGATGAAGGGGTGGGGGCTCTGCAGGAGGATCATGGCAGAGGAATCTCCAAGCCATGGTGGTGGAGGTGCAGGGGGCTTGAAGGAAAGGGAGCTGGACTGAGATCTGGCTTGTCCAGTCTCTGAATTCCTCAGTCCTTTTTCAGAGCCAGTTCCTTCATTCCCCTCCCTCACCTCTGATCACCCCCAGGGAATCCTCCAGAGAAAGCACTGAGTGTTTCCTGGAGCCTGAGAATGTGTGCCCAAGGTGGGGCTGGGCAGACTTCGTGGTTTTCTCTCAGCACCGGCCTGCCTCCTGCGGGCCAGTTCACCTCTGGAGCCGTGGCCACAGTGGGAGGGTGTGGGCAGGGTCAGACTCAGGAGAGGCTTGGCAGGTGAGTGGAAGATGTGTTGGTGAGCTCTTATCTCAGACGGTGGAAGTGGAGAGGTGATAGCAGGGTCTGTGCTAATGGGGTCTCTTTCTTCCTTCAAGGGCCTCATCAGGACAAGGTGACATCCTTCCCCTTCTACCCTGCTCTACGTCCTCAGCGGGGAGTGGCCGCTGCCTTCTCCATGGACTTCCAAGAGAGGGTCCCTCCCTCCCTGGCCGTGAGCACTCAGTCTGCAAAGCCTGGCAGTGTCCAGCAGGTCTGAGGGTGCGGAAGCAGGCAGAGGGTGGGCCTAGCGTGGCCCAGGGGAGGGGCCAATATGGTTGCCTTACCAGCCTCTACCCGCCTCTGTCCTGGACTGCAGGTCTCTGAGCTGTGGGAGGTTGTGGAGGAGCCTCGGGGCCGGCTAGGGGCAGAGGGTATCATGCCCGAGAGGCAGGAAGGCCACCTGCTCAAGAAGAGGAAGTGGCCTCTGAAGGGCTGGCACAAGGTAGAGTGGGCAGGGCCAAGGGTGGGGCCAGATGCTGGGGCAGGATGGGAATGTGGGGGAGGCTGCTGGGCAGTACAAGGTGTTTGCATGTCGAGAAGGAGAAGAAAAGTCCTTGTGTGTGGTTGCTCTCTTCCCCCACCCTTTCCTGTCGGCCTCCCTGTCCTGTTCCTCCTGGGAAACGTCACAGAGATACTTTGTGCTCGAGGATGGGATCCTTCACTATGCGACAACTCGGCAAGATGTGAGTCAGGGCCTCGGCTGGGGGTCGTGGGAGAAGTCTGGCCCCAGAATGCCTGGGCAGGCAGAAGGGCTTCTGGAGTTCGCCTGAGCCGGGTCTGAATCCTAGGTGCACCCTCTCTGGGTGTAGGGTCTTGGACAAGTTACTTCCCTAGGCCTCAGCTCCCTCATCTCTGAAATGGAGAGAGTACAATCCCCCCTTTTGAGGTCATCGTCTTGGTAAGGCTCTCAGTACAGTGCCTGGCACAAAAGTGCCCAAGAAATGGGAGCTTTGTCATCCTCATCTTTGTCCTGTTCTCGTGGTGGGAATAAGGAGTCGAAGGCCTAGACACCTGGGCTCTCTGAGAGGGTGTTTCCTTCCTCAGCTTTGTGGATTCCTGAGGGTGGGAATAGTTTTCCTTGTTCTGTGAATCCCTTGAGCTCAGAATGTCACTTAACAGTGGGGTGTTCTGTGCACAGGAGGACGCCTGACAAGTCCCCGCTGATACTGTGACTCGGGCATGAGGGTGAATCTACTGCCTAAACCTTGAGCCCAGAGTGGGCTCAGGGAGATGGTAGCTCTGTGGCCCTGGGGGCCTAAAACCAGCCCCTTTTCCCTCACCAACCCTCCACCCCAGATCACCAAGGGGAAGCTTCATGGCTCCATTGATGTCCGACTGTCTGTCATGTCCATCAACAAAAAGGCCCAGCGCATTGACCTTGATACCGAGGACAACATCTACCACCTCAAGGTGACATCCCCAGGAGCCAGGTGGTGGTTTGGGCCCAAGCCTGGCCGAGGCACTGGAGCATGCAGGAGAGGGGCAGGGGCTGAGGGTTTCCCTGAGTTTGACAAGAAGGGAGTTCCCATTGTATACAATAGCCAATGGCAAACTGCCCTGTTGGTGTAATGTGAACAGGCACAGAGCTCAGGGCTCAGACACTTGGGGAAGCTGTGTTCTGCCTCCCTGCAAGGGGCCTTTGCATAAACTGGGTTCTATAGGGAGAGGCCCTGCTTGCCTGGGCACCAGAGCGCTGACTTGTTGCCCCTGGAAAGCAGCCCCTCCTTTCATGCATCCCTCCCCTTCTCCATCACTTCTGCAGATCAAATCCCAGGACCTGTTCCAGAGCTGGGTGGCCCAGCTGCGTGCCCACCGCCTGGCCCAGCGCCTGGACATGCCCCGAGGCTCGCTGCCAAGCACCACTCATCGGAAGGTAAGATGGGCCCTGGGGTGCAGGAGATGTGGAGATTCAGGGTTGGTGGCTTCGGACAACCGCGAGACCCAGGGAGGCGGGCACTGTGCTCCCTGACCATTGACTTACCCACAGGCTCCTGGTGCACAGCTTCCAACAGCCAGTGGTGCCTCGGCTCTACCTGGGGTTGGCTCCCGGGAGAAGGTGTCTTCCTGGCTGAGGGACAATGATGGGCTGGACCGCTGCTCTCATGGTGAGGGGCTGCTGGCACACACTTCTGTGGGAGGGGCCCATGCCATCAGGTCTAGGTGGCATCAGCAGTCACAAGGAGGAGAAAATGTTACCTCCATCCCTGCCTCAGGGAGCCCCAGTCTGATGGAGGAGACAGCCTCTGCCTCCCAGCTGATCAGTCTGCTCCAGCCCTGCCCTGGGGAGCCCCATCTTACAGAGGATGAAAGGGCTGTGCCCCACACATAGACAGACATGGACACAGCACCAGGACTCATGAAAGAAAAGATACTGAATGCCACTGCAGGGAGGGGTCCTGAGGACTAGTGCCAGGCGGGGAAGGGGAGTGCCCCAGAATTGGATTCCTGGAATAGGGGGCCGTGATGGCTTGGGAGAGGGAAGTGCATACTAGGTGGGGAGAGAAAGAACAAGGGCCCCCTGGCCTGTGCGGAGGAAGCAGAGGTAAGATGTGGTCTGGAGACAAAGTGGAGTTTGGGGCACTGGACCTCCCATGAGGCCAGACCAAGGGGTGGGAACTGGGAACTGCTTTGGGCTGATGAGCAGGGGACCAGGAGACAGGCTCAGGATTTCCATGGCTGCCAGGTGAAGTCTTTGGAGGAGGAAGGGAAGCTGAGGGACAGACTTTGGGGTGCCCGGCCAGTGTTGGGAGAGGGACTTCCTTGTTCATTCTTCCCACAGAGCTCTCTGAGTGTCAGGGGAAGCTCCAGGAACTACACAGACTCCTGCAGAGCCTGGAGTCCCTGCACCGGATCCCCTCAGCCCCTGTTATCCCCACACACCAGGTGAGGTCCACGGGGGAGGCAGGGACGTGCCCAGGGCTCTCTCTCCTGCTTGCCATCTTCATCCCCATCACTTCCCTGGGACAGGTCCCCAGTCCCCCACATACGCCGCAGTTTTCTGGAGAGCCACGCGTCTGCCTAGTTGCCTCTACCCTCCGTGTCCCAACTGCCTCGGGGTGGTCTCTCTGCCCCTTTGGAGCGACCCCTTCCTCCTGTGCCCACGCGTCTGCCAGGGCGTCGGTCCTCTTCCTCCGGGATGTTGGTTGTCTCTGCACCCTCCTCCGTGGCCATCTGCCTCTCTCCTGGCTTTGCTGGTTGCTGCCCCTTTGCCCCACCCTGAGAGGGGAATTCCCCCACCTCGACTTGCCAGGCCTCAGTGACAACCGAGAGACCCAAGAAGGGGAAACGGACCAGCCGCATGTGGTGCACACAGAGCTTTGCCAAGGACGACACCATTGGACGGGTGAGGTGGACCCCAAGTCGCTGGAGTGGGGTGCTCTGAAGGAGGCTGTCCCCTTCAGTGTTTCCCCTTCACCTACAGGTTGGTCGTCTCCATGGCTCTGTTCCCAACCTGTCTCGCTACCTGGAGTCCCGGGACCCCTCAGGCTCCCGCGGGCTGCCACCCCCAGACTATGCCCACCTGCAGCGCAGTTTCTGGGCCCTGGCCCAGAAGGGTGAGTACATGTTGGAGGGACAGTGAGGAGCAGGTTGGGAGAGGGCTAGGGTGAGGAGTCTGATGGCCTGCCCCTGCCCCCACAGTGCACAGTTCCCTCAGCAGTGTCCTGGCCGCCCTCACTGCTGAACGGGACCGACTGAGGGACCTGCACCAGGGTTCAGAGCTGTCAAGGATGGGGGTGAGGCTTGGGGACGGGGCAGCTGGTGGGAGGAGAGGGCTTGAGGCTGGGGACTGCAGGCCTGAGGGTAACAGCAGATCTGGGCGTGATGGGGGTTGGCAGAGGCAGTCTCCGCATGATGGGGCGGGAAGGGCTTCATCCTCCTGGCACCCTGTCCCCTCACCCTCTCCCTGTAGGTCTCTGAGGCCTCAGCTGGCCCGAGGCGCCTCCACTCACTGTCCATCTCCTCAGACACCACTGCAGATTCTTTCAGCTCCCTCAACCCCGAGGAGGTAGGAGCCGGGGTGGGCTGGGGGGCCATTTCTCCTGGGCCTTTTTTCCCAGCAGGAGTGGGAAGGCATGGTTGGTTTTCAGACCTGAAACAGCCCAGAAGCCCTGGCTCCAGCCCCTTTACGTAGCAGCAGCAGCAGCCGCGTCTTGGTCGGCCCTTCCTTCACAGTGTGCAGGATGCTTTCCCTTTTAAGGTGGAGTCCTGTGAGCCAGTGACTCTGCCCTCCAGTCCACAGATGAGGAAACTGAGACTCAAAGAGTCTGACTGGTGGGCCCAGGCTCCCACAGTTGGGACTTAGGGGTTCCCAGCACGGACTCTGGGCCCTACTCCGTGGGTTTGAATTTGGCTTTGCTGCAGCCTGGCTTTGTGACCCTCAGCTTCAGTGTCCTCATCTGCAAAGTGGGGGTAATAATTGCACCTCCCTCGTTGGGGGAGTGTCAGGATTGTCTGAGTGAGTACATGCAAAGGGCTTGGAGCTGGGCTCAGAGGCAGCGCCCAGGAAGTGTGAGCACTGGAACCTGTGTCTCCTTATTCCCTGGCCAGTGTTCCTTCCACCACACCTTCCTATCCCACTATGCTTGCTGTCCTCTGCATCTCCTCCTGCTCGGCAGGCTGCACACTCAGACAGTGCAGTCCCTGGGTATGCTTCCCTCTCAAGGTAGCTTTCGGGCAAGAGGGAGTGCCTGACGCTCCCAGCTTGGCCTCTGGGGCCTCACACCCGGCCTGATCCCACAGCAAGAAGCTCTGTACATGAAGGGGCGGGAGCTGACACCCCAGCTGTCCCAGAGCAGCATCCTGTCCCTCGCTGATTCCCACACGGAATTCTTTGATGCCTGCGAGGTTCTCCTCTCTGCCAGCTCTTCTGAGAATGAGGTGAGGGAGGAGGGAAGCTGGCAGTGAGGGGTGGGGCCTGGAAATATAAGGGTGGGGTCCTGAGAGACTAGAATCTGTAGATTCCCAAATCCTTCTAACCACCTTCTCCACTATCTCTGGGAACATGTCCAAACCTCTTGGGTTAGTGTGGCCCTGCCCAGGAACCTCTGCTGAGGACCCTTCTTCCAGTTTGACATGCTTTATCCTCATTGGCTTCTCCCAAAACTACTGCCTCCACTCCACCCCAGTCATCTTCCTGTGACCCCATTTCAGCCTCGGTGTTCCCTTGCCCCCTACTCTCCAGACCCTGAGTCTTGGTAATTCCCAACCTCCCTTCCCTTTGTGTCCCGCCGAGTCCCTGAGCCGTAGGGCCAGGCCCTCCCCCTCCCAAGGTGGCAGGGCACACTCTGTGACACCAGCCCTCCTGGGACAGTGTCTTAGGGCTCAGACCCCCCAAATACATTCTCTTCCCCTTCCCACCAAAGGGCTAACTGGGCAGATTCTTGCCAGGCCCTGGGCACTGCCTGGCTGCCCGGGGAGGCCCAGTCTGCCCGGCCTGTCATCTGTCCCGGCTCAGGGCTCAGAGGAGGAGGAGTCGTGCACCAGTGAAGTCACCACCAGCCTGTCCGAGGAGGTGCTGGACCTCAGGCTTGCTGAACGCTGTCAGAAAGGTGGGTTTATGGGCCGGGTGGGGCTAGAGGTGGGCAGAGAAATGGGGTTTGTCCATGACCCAGGCCCCGCGGGGAAGCAGTCCCTTGTGGTGACTGGTGGGCTCACAGCTTTGGATGCTGACTCCAAAGGTCACCCCAGGAGGTGAGGAAGGTGAATCCGTGAGCTACAGAATGCTCCAGGAGTGGCTCCAGGGATGGGTCAGGCTCAGGCCTGGGGGGCCCGCCTCAGTTCCAGTCTTCTGAGAAGGCTCACATAGGGCCTGATAGAGAGGCAGAAGGTCCACTTTGCCACTTGTTAGCACGGTGGCTTTGGACACGTCATGTTGCATCTTGGAGCCTATCCTCATCTGTAAAATGAGCTGAATAATCTGCATCCTGACGTTGGTTTCTGTGTTTGTGAAAGGAACAGAAGGGAAGGGCGGGGACTCGGGGACGGTTCAGGGGTGCAGGGTTTCTTGCGGTGGGAAGCATCCTCTCTGAGTGGTTCTCAGCCCTGCTGCCCACCTCCGTCCCCCCAGGATCTCGTCAAGAATTAGATCCCCAGCCGCCCTGCCCCACGCGAGTGGAGACTAGAGCTTGGGAATGAGGGATCTAAGATGCCTCAGGAGCGTGGGAGCCAGCCGAGCCATGGCCCTGCGTGTCTGGATGCCAGTGCCCAGAGGGAGAGTGACACGGCTGGGTGGGCCCCAGGGGGGTGTGTTCCAGGGAGAGCTGCAGGGCCACCCCGCCGCCGCTGCCTGCCAGCGGCCAGCGGGCCTGGGGCTGATGTGAGCCTGTGGAACATACTGCGTAACAACATTGGCAAGGACCTGTCAAAGGTGTCGATGCCTGTGCAGCTCAACGAGCCGCTCAACACCCTGCAGCGGCTCTGCGAGGAGCTCGAGTACAGCAGCCTCCTGGACCAGGCCAGCCGCATAACCGACCCCTGCGAGCGCATGGTACCGGCCCCACCTACCCCTGGGCCAGCCCCAGGCTACCACTTCCTCCCCTGGGCCCCTGTCTTCCAGAAAATCCTGGCTGGGTTCTTCCTTGCTGCTGAAATTCCACCCCAGCACCCTAGTCCTTCCTTGCGGTGGGGTGGCATCTCTTTCTCTGATCCCTCGAGCAGCGTCTCCCTGGCCTTCCTCCCACAGGTGTACATCGCAGCCTTTGCTGTCTCTGCCTACTCCTCCACGTACCACCGGGCGGGCTGCAAGCCCTTCAACCCTGTCCTGGGGGAGACCTATGAGTGTGAGCGTCCTGACCGGGGCTTCCGCTTCATCAGTGAGCAGGTGAGCCCTGGAAGAAGAGAGCTGGCCTCGTGGTGGCTGGGGCGGGGCATGGAGAGAGAGCAGGGGGCAGCTAGCTCTGTGCCAGGCACTGTGCCACATGTGGAGGTGCAGAGCACTCTACTTGAAGGAGCTACCCCGCTTAGTACAGGAGCTTAGAGTGGGACACAGACTTGAACCATAGGAGTCACTGTGCCAGGTTCTAGAGCTGGGATCGTGGACGCTGCTAGGTTATTCAGCTCCCCCTGGAAAGGCAAGCTCTAGCGGGCGATCTTGAGCTGAGTCTTCAAGGATGAATTGGAGTTCGCAGGAGTACAAAGGGGCAGGGAGAATGGGATGTTTCACGCAGTGTAAAGGATGGATGGAGCATGTTTGGGAAGAGTTTGAGATGGGACTGGAAGACAAGGCCCTGCAGGTGAAGGTAAGGAGCATTTTGTTTGTTTCTTTTTAAATCGTGGGGAGTCATTGGATGGTTTAAGCAGGAGAGTGACGTGCTCGAATTGCACTTTATAAAGAAGACCCAGGCAGTGGTGTGCGGACAGGTCAGAGATGCCATTAGAGGCATTTCATTCATCTCCCTAAGAGCTGGTGAGGACCTGCACTTAGGCCGTGGCAGCTGGACTGATGGAGGTTGGATTCAAGAGCTATTTGTGGGTTGCCCTTGACAAGACTCAGTGGTCAGCAGCATGTTCTTACAAGTAAGGACTAGGGGAGGTGGTCGATGCGAGAGAGAAGTCTGGGGTGGCCTTGAATTCCTGGATTGGGGGATTCAGTGAGTGTGCGGTGGTGCCACTTAACAGGATGAAGAACATGTGAGGAAGCCCACTGAACTGGGGAGACTCCCTGTCCGTGAGGGCTAGGCTTCAAAGGGAGGGTCCAGTAGGCCCTGGGGCATGTGGGCCTGGAGTTCCTTGGAGAGCACTGGGCAGGGCTCACAAATCGCGGAGTCACCAGCTTTGATGGGGGTGAAGTCCCAGAGTGCTCCTGGGGGAGGGTCTGGGCTCAAGGGCAGCAGGGAAGGTGGAGGAGCTCCGAGGTGGAGCAGGAGGAGGGTGGATGGTCCACGGGACTCGGGAGGGTGTCATTGGCTTCCTGAGTGAGGGAGGTTTCAGAGAAAGGCTGGGGGCCAAGGCTGGATTACAGTGGGTGTGGAATAACATGGAAGTAAAAAACAATGACACAGATCAAAATGCAGGAGTTTACCATGAGGGAAAGAGGAGGCAGAGAGAGTGGCAGCCAGAGAGGGGATAAAGGGTTGAGGCAACTTTTTTGTTTGTTTAGATTTTAAATGTTTTGAAGACGTGGTGAAAAGTTCTCCTGGTACAATATTGTGTACAGTAGGAAAGGGGTCTCCCTCGCACCCCGCCCCTCGGAGGGGACCACCACTGCCAGTGTCTGCCTCAGGCATACGCGAGCAAAGACGTGCATGTCCAGAAGGGGAAGGTTGACTCTTTTTTAAGATGGAAGGAACAGGAGATGTTTCTATTCAGGGAGAAAGAGAAATATAGAGGGGAAGACTGGGGTGCAGAGAGAGGGGGAATGGGAGAAGCAGGGCCTGCAGGGGCGGTGGGCCACAGTGTGGAGCAGGAGAGGGGCGCGGGCCTGGGAGTGGCCTGGGTGGGAGCCCGTACGGGCGTGAGGCTGGGATGGAAGGGGTTGCCTTCTCCTGCTCTCTGTTCTCCCTCGGATTGTGGGGGTGAATGTGATCTGAAGGGGATGGCTTGGGCGTAGGCCCTCAGGAGGGTTGTGGGTGATGCTCAGGGCCCAGATGTAGACATGCTGTAGGATTAGAAGTTCCCTAGCTGTGTCTGTGTTTCGAGACAGGGTGGGGGTCTAAAGAGCAGGGAGCCGGTGCTGGGAGTTGTGGCGAGTGGTGGCACGAGGTTGTGGAGGGTGCTGGGTGAGAGGGGCGGAAGTGAGGGAGCAGCCTCAGCTGGGCGGGAAGGGGGTGAAGCTGGGGCTGACAGGCCATGACAAAACAGAGCAGCCAGGGACCTGGCAGTCTCAGCAGGGGATGGGGAGAGGCCAGGCAGGCAGGCAGGCTGTGGGATACCAGAGTTCAAGGTTCCAGGTTTTCCAAGGGGTTTTCCAAGGGTGTGGTGTGGAGGGTGCAGGGTGACGGTCATCTTTGGGGAGAAGATGGCGAGGGAAGAGGGTCCAGAGGGGAGGGCCGGCTTCCAGGCAGGCCGTGCGGGGAGGCCCCACCTGTCACTGCTGGGGGACTTCGTAGTCTTGAGCAGTGGTTCTGCAGGACACCACAGACAGCACTGGCAAGGAGGACCCTAGAGGGGAGTGAGGAAAAAGGGAGGACATAGGGGCCTTATGGGAAAAGAGAGGAGGATGGAATTTAGGTGGTGGCCAGACAACAGGGACAAGAGACCTGGAACTAACTGGTCTTCTGGTTTGCGGGAGAACTGGCGTGGGGGTAAGGGAGTTTGGGGGCCGTGGGGTCAGGGGCAGACCTCGCCGTCCTCAGCAGCAGGCTCAAGAGAACTTCCTTGCTCATCCAGGTCTCCCATCACCCCCCCATCTCAGCGTGCCATGCGGAGTCTGAGAACTTCATCTTCTGGCAAGGTGAGGGGGGCCTGGGGGTGAAGGGCAGATGGAGAGGGGCGGAAACACACTCTGGTCTTATCTGTGCGTTCCTCTCCCTCCCCGACCCCAACTCCAGACATGAAGTGGAAGAACAAGTTCTGGGGCAAATCCCTGGAGATTGTGCCTGTGGGGACAGTCAATGTCAGCCTGCCCAGGTGAGTATTCCTAAGTGCTGTGCAGCCAGGCCCAGCCCCCAGGCTGTCCTCCAGGCTGGGATGGGGAGGTGGCAGGGACAGGGCAGAAAGGTCTGGCCTGAAGCTGCTTGTGGTGGGGCAGTGTCTGTACATTTTACACCTATATTTACAGCGGTTGCCAATAAAGAAAGGTGAAAAATCTTGGAATGGCAGAGCTGGGAGGGCTCATTGAGGTCATCTGATGTGGTGGCTTTCACACTTTTTTGACCATGACTCACAGTAAGAAACGCATTTGAGACTTCAAGCCAGCACGCACACACACCCATCCACACCCCCCCACACCTACCCACCCCCACCACCGAAACCTAAAGTGAACTCAGGGCTGGTCACAAACTACCCATGAAACACATCATCTAGCTCATTTTAGAGGTGGGGACTGCAGCCAGAGACAAAGAGGGCCTTAGAGGGGCCTACATGGCCAGCACGGTCCAGGGGTTCGTAAAGTTCCGTGTGGAGATCCCGGACTTCAGGATCAGAAGTCCTGGGTGCGAGTCTTGGTTCTGTCACTGAATAGTTATGCAAGCAACAAAAAGACGCCTCAGAGCCTTGAACGTGCCCTTCTATAAAACGAGAGGAATAAGGAATACCCGATAGAAGTGGGGCGTAAGCAGAATGATATATGGCAACAGAGCCGTGGGGCCCCGTCTGTGGTCTCACGCCCGTGACTTAGGCACTCAGGAGCTTTATCTGTGAGTGGAGGCATGTTAATGGAATACTTTCTGTGAAGGCTGCTCTGCTTTATGAATCACTCATCCTTCATGGCAGAGCCAGGACCAGGACGCCGGCCTTCCTTCCACACACCCACGTGACCTGCTTCAGCCAGACAGGCGCTCCTTGGCTCAGGGTGGCACTTGTACCCCAGGGCCCGCCAACTGCCCTCCCATACTGTCTCTCTCAGGTTTGGGGACCACTTTGAGTGGAACAAGGTGACGTCCTGTATTCACAACATCCTGAGTGGCCAGCGCTGGATCGAGCATTATGGGGAGGTGCTCATCCGGAACACGCAGGACAGCTCCTGCCACTGCAAGATCACCTTCTGCAAGGTGGGCACGCACCCCGGCCCGCCTGGCTGCCCCCAGCGGTTCACCCTGGGGAAGGGGAGGGGACACCTCCCTAAGCCTCCTGCCCCGACCCCACCCCAGGCCAAGTACTGGAGCTCCAACGTGCACGAGGTGCAGGGTGCCGTGTTCAGCCGGAGCGGCCGTGTCCTCCACCGCCTCTTCGGGAAGTGGCACGAGGGGCTATACCGGGGACCCCCGCCCAGCAGTCAGTGCATCTGGAAACCCAGTAAGTGGGGTGGTTGGGGAGGGCCGGGCAGGGGGAGGGCAGCTCTGGCACAGTCCACCTGCCCCAGCCTCTCACCTTCCCCACAGACTCGATGCCTCCAGACCACGAGCGGAACTTCGGCTTCACTCAGTTTGCCCTGGAGCTGAATGAGCTGACGGCAGAGCTGAAACGGTCGCTGCCTTCCACTGACACGCGGCTCCGGCCGGACCAGAGGTTAGTGCCCGGCAGCTGTGGCCCTGGTGTCCCCAGGCTCCTCCCTCCTCCTTGGGGGTTTCCACACACAGCTGGGCCTGGGTCTGTCTTCCTTGAGTTGCCTCAGGGAGATGAGGCCTGTTTGGGAGCAGAGCTGGGCAGAGGACAGAGGCCTTGGATTTGGGGGTCCCTCAAATTCAGTTCCCCTGACTATAGTCTGGATGCTCAGGTACCTGGAAGAGGGGAACATACAGGCCGCTGAGGCCCAGAAGAGAAGGATCGAGCAGCTCCAGCGAGACAGGCGCAGAGTGATGGAGGAGAACAATATCATCCATCAGGCTCGCTTCTTCAGGTGCCTCTGCCCTCGCCCTGGGTCTCTGCCGTCCAGGCTCCCCTCCTCGTCCCCTCTAGTTCCTTCCTGCTTTGAGTGGGGCCAGCAGTGGGAGGCAGCGTCTCGAGACCCCAGCCTTAATTCTCTCTCTTCCCCCAGGCGGCAGACGGACAGCAGCGGGAAGGAGTGGTGGGTGACGAACAACACATACTGGCGGCTTCGGGCCGAGCCAGGCTACGGGAACCTGGACGGGGCTGTGCTCTGGTAGCCCTGGCCCTGGGGGCAAGAGGCTCTGCTTCCTCCCTCCTGCCTCCACCCCCACCACGGACACATGGGCAAAGCCAGGCTCCCCGACTCACCGCCCTAGAGACCAAAGGGGCCCCCTGGCTCTGGCCCGTTCCCCTCTGCTGGCCAGAGGGGCTGCATCTCAGCCCATCGCCCTCCCTGTATTTGAGGTGGGAGTCAGGATTCGTGCTTCCCCAGTTTTGTTGCCCCGGACAACCAGCATGTAAGACCCTTCTTGCTCTGTCATCCCCCTCCCTGTCCCCTGGGTACTTGGGGGAGACTCCAGGCTTTCCAGGATCTGTTCCCATTTCAGTGCCTTCTAGGACACAGGGGACCCCTTGATGCCCCCAGGCTTCCTGTGCGCAGGGCTCTGGCCCCAGCTGTGTGGTTGGAGTGAGTGAGGGAGAGGAGGTGGCCTTTTTTTCCACCCTGTCCCTCCGGAGCCCTTCTCCAGCATCTTCTTCCCTGTGCCCTGGCCCAGTGGGGCGCCCTGTGCTTGGTCTCTGGCAATCTCTCCCATCCTCCTGGATCCCCTCCTCCCAAACCACAAAGCGCCTGCAGCTTCGAGCTCCTTTGTCCCTGGTCCTCAAGTGGTTTCCTTCAGTCTCAACTCAGAGGGTCCCCCCAGAGAAGATGAGGCCTCTCCAAGAGGCAGGGGACAGACAGAGCCGGCAGGATGCCCGGCCTCAGACCCACTGGCAGTGCGTGAGCATGTTGAGAGTGTAAGCTTGTGTTAGAAGAGTGTGGTGTGTGTGTGTGTGTACCCGTGTACTGCTTGCAGGCGAGCAGCATTCCTAATGTAGCCTGACGTCTCCCCTGCTGGGTGTCTGCCACCATTGCTGCTCATTTTCACAGTCTGCCTCTGATTAAGGTGAATCGCTATGACATTCCAAGCTCCAATAAAGACTGTCTTAAACTTTGGCCCGTGACCATTCATTTAAGAACACGTGTGCTCAAGCTCTGAAGGCCTGTAGCCACCCACTCACCTGGGCTCAGAATCCAATGTCAGCTCTCTCCCATAGTCCTCCCATCCTGTCAGTTGTGCTTCAGGTACCTCTCAGCTCTGGCCCCTGCTGTTGATTGCACCTGGCCCAGGCTGGGCCCTCATATACCCTTGCCTGGACTATTGCAGTAGTCTCAAAGCCTCCATCACTTCCATCTGAATGCTGGCTTTCAGGGGATATTTTCAAGGAGAAATATGGCACCTCATGCCCCTTCAAATATGTCCATTGTTTCTGAGTGCCTAGAGGAAAAATCCAAACTCCAACCAGGCAGAAAACAATGTGTGGTCCCTGTCCCCTTCTGGCGTGGAGGGCTGACACCCCAGCGTCCTCTGTCAGATCTGTTCTCCCTTGCATTGCCACCCTCCGCCGCCCCCTCAGTTAGCGAGCAGCGTTCAAGAAAGGTGAGAAGGAGGAGGGGACAGGAGAGCAGGGCAAGCTCCAGTTTCTCCTGCTCCCCGCCACCGAGGCTGAGTTCAGATCCCAGCTCTGTTATTCCAGATCCGTGTGATCTTGGTCAAGGGCCTTACCCCTCTGTTCAGGGCTTTCATTCCCTCATTTGATTCTTTCGTATCTTACAGGAGCATGTGTGTGAAGTGTCCCAGGCTCCTGATTTCATTAGTTGTCTCTTAGCCCCCCACCCGACTCCACTGCAACAACAGGCCCCAGGCCCTGCCCTGGTTTGAGAGATGTCCCTAGACGAAGTCATGCTTCCTCTGGGGGCCCCTGAGCTATGGCAGCCCTTCCAATCCGAGTCCTTTTCTTCTTCGCACTCCCCCAGCCCTGCGGGAGGGGTGGTGGTCAACATTCCCACACCTTATTTATGGAGAGTGTTGAAGTTACAACAAACATGCTTGTCCTGACATCATGTAGCAGAAATAACCTCAGCCCACTCCAAAAAAAGCCAGAGCCTGCGCATATTCAGGATCCTTTTAAAACAGGTGCACTGCTCTCCTCCCCACCTGTTCCACTCAGAGCAATGTAGAGCCCAACTGACCAGCCTGTGTTCAACTTCCACGTAGTTTAAGAACTAGAGTTTCAAATAGACCAAACCCAAAGTTATTTTTCAAATGGAGACAAGACCAGCAACTCCTCTGCCCATGGGAACCAAGCCCTCTGGCTTGTGCTGTCTAGCCCAGCATCCTCTCCAGCCCAGGCACTGACTCACTGGTGGGAAAATGGTCAAATTGGTTTGGCTCTTGCTGGGGCATTCCCTGCTGGAGGACTGTCGTCTTCTTAGAAACCCTCCATTCGGCCAGGGTTTGGTGGGTCACTGCTGACGGGGCACTCAGGCCAGGCTGAGGGGAGCCTGGAGCTCGGGCCCCAGGCTGGGCTCTGTGGACAGAGTATGAAGGGCCCAAAGCAGCTGTGGGTGCAGAGGATGGTGGCCACCTCTCAGACACTAGGAAGATGGGTGGAGGGTGCTCAAGTCTGGTCTGAGGAAGGAATGGTGAGCCCTGTTCTCATGTCTATCTCGGTCTAGTCTGATGACACACAGGACGGCTCACCACTAGGCTCTAGGGCAGCCCAGGACAGACCGGACCCTGGCCTTTGCTGGAGGATCTGGTGGTCCTGGGGCAAAGAGGAGGGATGTGGGCTTTAGGGCCCTACATCTTGACTCAGCTTGGGTGAGGTGCAAGGCGGAACACACCAGTTTGTAAAGCCAGGGACCTACTTCTCTGGATGAGCGAAAAAGGTCAGAGCTTGAACAGCACAGGAAACACCTGGGCCCAACAATGGTGGCCAAGGAAGAGGGAGATGAGCAAGAGGGTCAGTCCTCACCTCACTGCTTTGAACTTACCAACCCCAAACCACTCTACCCAGAAAGAGCTAAAAGTTGTCATTTAAATTTAGCTGTTGAATGGCTGATGGAGATGCCTGTGTTGCCAGGGGCAAAAACCAGCTGAAAATACTTATAACCTCCCAATTCCCTGAATCTTCTGAATAAAGGGTGGTTTGGGGTGTGTGTGCATATGTATTTGTAAGAAACCAGACAGAGGAAAGAGGCTGAACCAGTTGAGGAGCCAGCTGTCAAAGATAAACACAGACACTAGTTGAAGTGGCGAAAACAGATTTCATTCAGTGACTACTGACAATAGGGAAGAGCTGAGCTCCATTCTGATCTATGCAGAGGTGACTGGGCGTTTAAAGGGAGAATGAGGGAGTGGGAAGGGGCCGGGCGGGGCTCCAGTAGAGTCAGAGAAGTGAAAGATTAGCAAGGGTTGCTCAGTGTAACTGTGATTAGGCCAGGGGTGCCTGCTCCACGGCAGTTATCAAAGTCAGGATTCTCTCCTCCCACAGAGCTGGGAGACAGCTCTATCCCTCTCGATGATGATATTTCAAAGGAGCGGCTTTCAGGTCCTTGAGAAAGACAGTCCTGAGTTGTAGGAGAGGCATGTAGACCTGAAAGGGACAGAGGAAGGAGTCATAATTGTGAGCCCTTTTTAGAAAATGCTCTAAGAAGGGGAAGTCGGGGGGGGGGGGGGGGGGTCTCTTGTTGGGTGTTGGCTAGAACCACAGTACGCTCTCGTGGCAGCATCGAGCCTTCTCAGGCAGGCATATTATTTTATTTTATTTTTTTTTTTAAAGATTGGCACCTGAGCTAACAACTGTTGCCAATCTTCTTCTTTTTTTTTTTTCTCCTGATTTTTCTCTCCAAATCCTCCCAGTACATAGTTGCATACTTTAGTTGTGGGTCCTTCTAGTTGTGGCACGTGGGACACCGCCTCAACGTGGCCTGACGAGCAGTGCCATGTCTGAGCCCAGGATCTGAACCGGTGAAACCCTGGGCCACCGAAGCGGAGCATGTGAATTAACCACTCGACCACGGTGCCGGCCCCTCCTGCCGGCATTTTAAAGAGGGGCTGGGTCATCCTCAGGATGTCCTTGGGACACGGCCTTGTGCTGCTGGAAGCTGGGCTGGCGTCTGGTGCAGGGGGCTGATTGGAGGCCTTACTGCTGAGTTCTGCAGTTCTCACAGGGCACTTCATGGCCCCTCCCTGAGGTCAGGGAGGTCCCGATCCTCCTGAAGCTGGAGTGGGTGTTCAGGGTGGAAGGAGGCTGACAGGCCAGCACTTGCCTCCCTGTTCCCCCGGATGGCAGGTAGCCGAGGTGGATTTGAGTGGGGCTTCCCACTGCTCTGCTGCAAGCAGAGAAGGCAAGCAGTGGGGGCAGTGGGGAGGGGTACCCGCAGTTCCCGGCTGATGCCTGCTGAGGAGGCAAAGGCGTTGCTGTCTGACCTTGAGTCTGCTGGTTTCCATCTGTCCTAGAAGGGCCCCTGGATCTCCTTTCCTAGGCTGTCCTATTCTGGTCCCAGTTCTCCATGGGCACCTTAGAGATCAGGGGTTACAGCCTCTGGCCCTGTCCAACTTCTTTAGGGAATGTTCAGGGGGGACACTTGCGGCTGGATCATTAGCTTAAAGATGCCCCCTTCCTGGAAAGGACTCACTGAACAAGTGGCTTCCTCTTTTAAAGACTCTCTTGTTTCAGCACGGGCAGAAAAGGAGGTGGGACTTAGCACCTTCCCCCTGGGACCCATCTCTGTGCCCCTTAGGTGGTCAGGGAGGGCAGCATAGACTTCAGAGGGACCCTCACAGGCTGGTCTGGGCCGAGGCTTGCTCAACCAATGACCTATTCCTGGTACAGACACGTAACCGGACCACCTGGCCTAAAGGTGTAGGACAGATCCACCCCGATTCTTGCCACACCTGTCCCCTAAGAGCCAATGCAGAGAGGGTCACTGAGAGCTCTTGAGATCTCCAACAGACCAGCATCAGCTCAGCATGCGGCTCTGGGGCGAGGTGCCCCAGGGGCTGAGGGAGCTTAGCCCTGGGAGTGGGGGTTCTAGAGTGCTACCTGTGTCTCATTAACATATCTCATCACACAGTACAAAATCCTCAGGTCACTGAAAGATGTTTCCAGGCCCTAATGTATGTGGAGGGGGTAGTTTCATCTGGGTAAGTCCAAACCGATGGCATTCTGCCTTGTGTTGCCAGGACCCTGGGGATGCTGGGCCTCGCTGGTTCCTAACAGGAGAGGCCTCTCAAAGTGATGGGTGGGCTGGGCTGGGCTGTGGGAAGGGTGTGGGTGGAAGAAGAAATTGGAAGGATTGGGGCAGGAGCAGCAGGAGAGAGAATGAAGATGACAGTCAGCTTCAGAGTCTGTGTATCCAGGACTGAGGTGGTGAGATTCTTCAAGCATCCTCAAGAGGGCGCCTGTGGCTCTTGAAAGGACCAACTCAGGCGCATCCTGAGCCCACCTGGCAGGTGGTTGCGCCCGCTGTCTGCTCAGAGCATCAGGACCCCACGAATCTGGCAGTGGCTGGGGCCCAGCTTGGCAGTGACAAACGACAGTGGCAGGCACTCTACCAGCCCACATTGCTGCAGATTCCCAGTACACTCAAGCTCTGCCCACCTTCACTCTCAGAGAACACTCACTGGGTCAGGAAGCCCCTTCTCTGGGAGACCCAGGTGTCCTCAACCACTCCCAGAAACAGTCTGGGGGAGGACAATGAGGTCCCCTTTACTGGTGCCTCTTCACTGCCAGGGAACAGCCCCCCAGGACAACTGGTCCAGGACCCCCACCCCCACCCCCATGGAACCCTCATAAGAGAACTCTCTCCTAAGTTTCCACTAAGATTCTTCTTCGGTAACCCCAGAGCCATCACACACTGGGCTGGAACCTTGAATTTAGTCTTGTGCCCTAACTCTGAACTTCCAAACAGTGGAGAGTAGGAAGAGGACCTCCTGTTAGGTCCAGACAAGAGGTGCCCCTGCCAAGGCCCCTGCTTGAGAAGGTTGGGCCCTGGCTTTCCTCTGACAGCGCCCCTCCCCATGGGGCTAGAATCAGTGAGGCGGAGGACTGTGGTACCCGACCCCTCACAGATGACACTCCCGGTACCTGGGCCCCTGGAGTTCCTGA